ACCACAACTAAATACAAAAAGAACAAATGAAACATGACGCCCTCGCCTATGTTGCAGACGGAGCTGAGGCCTCCCGGCCAGGTGGCCTTGACACATCCTTTCTGTGTAACTTGGGTGCCGTGTAACTTGGGTGCCATTTGGGCTTTGACAAGACGAGCGGTTAAGAGCCCCATCTCTGGACTCGCATTGTCTGGGAGCGAACCCCAGCCCTGCCTCTTGCTAGCTGCTTGACCTTGGGCTGTCAACTAATCTTTAGCTTTCGTTTCTTCACTGTGGAACTAAAACGGATTAGCAATAGTAGCTACTTTCTCCGGTCCTTGTGAGGATTAGGTAAGACAAACAAAGCATGGGAAGCATTACTCAGACACAGGACACCAGCCAGCATTTACTCTGTTGCTGTCCAGTCAGGTTTGCAGAAAATAACTGAAACAATGTTTAAATGATTTACATATTAAATCACATATTTTCTGTGTTTTAATTCCTGCAGTTTGGATTGTATATATTTTTTACACTAAACTTTTTGGATACTAGAAAGAACTATTTTATTCATATACAGGTCTGCATGTACTTCATGAATAAAATTCCATTTTTTTCCCCCTGCATATAAATGTTGATTTTCTCTTCACCCTCTCAATAACATTGCATTTCAGATTGCAAATGAATCGTCCACCTGTGATTTTGGAATACAGAGGCTATGAGGAGCCGCCAACTACACAAGCTCATTACCAAGCTTGAGAAAGTGGGCTGCTTTATGAGGCTGCCGGCCAAGCATAGCTCGGAGAATGGCCAGGGCGCTCTGATCTACATTCACTTATAAATCCATTTAATAAGCCTCGAACCTTCCATAAACTCCGGTTGCCACTCAGGAGGAAAGTTTCCTGACGGACAGAATGCCAGAGGACGAGGAGCCTGTAGGCTTCCCCGCTCTGCGTTAGCTCCCGACCCCCCCACAGACAGGGCCTCTTCCCTTCAGCCACCAGCCAGGCCTCCCATGCAGTACAGAAGATGCTGAAAGAGCGAGAACGGTTTTCAGCTCCTTCTGGGTGACACCCTGCACAAAAGGAATGGCCTCCTTTAACCGCCAGAGAGATTTTGGAAGAGGTCTGAGCCAACTGAGTTGAGCCTGGACAATTGTCATTGGTTGAGAGAACATAACCTTCTTTCTCAAGGAGCCTGACTTCTTCCTGAAGCTTCCGAGGCAGCCTCCGCCTCTCCTGAGTTCCGATCTCCTCCTTAAACTTCTGCTGAGGACAGTTACATGCTCGGGCCTGGGTGACGTTTACTGCAAGTTAACCTCTATGCCGGCCACCTGCCTCGGGGAGCCTGCTCGTCTCCCTTCTACAGCTGACGCTCGCCAGCTCCCTGACTAGGCCGTGGCCAGCCCCGGGCCCCAGGCTGAGGGCCCAGCAGACACCTTGCGCCCTCACAGACCTGCCGCTGTGGCTTTAGTGGCCAGGACTCCCAACTCTCGGGCCTGTCTGTGCCGTAATCCAGCCAAATCCTGGCATTGTTCATGCTTAGATAATGACTTTGAGCATCTTTGGTGTTCTCCAACCACTAAGAAATCCTGGCTCACGGCTGCCGTGGAGGACACAGGTCTCAGTACCTGGGCTGGCCAAGGCCACAGGTCACGTGGGGTCTTAGTGCTTCTGCTGGGACATCCCAGGTGCTCATCGCATGCTAGTCACTCGTGTTGGATCAAAGACATGAGGAAGTTCCCTGCACTTTTAGGACAAATACCAGCAACTGCTTCTTTCTTCCCATGTTACTCTTAAGTTTTAAATTTACTTGTTCTTTTTTCAGTAAACCGAAATCATAGCTGGATTCTCACTACTTCCAAAAGATCTGTGCCAACCCTTTTCCGATGACAGCTTCTAATTATATATCAGATGTTGAGTGAGAACGGTATCCTCCCTGTGTGTTTTTTCGTTACTTTGAAAAGCGGACGTGAGCCTGGGCGTGCTCACACAGGCCGCGGGCAGCGGCGGGCCTTCCCTCACAGCCCGCTCTGTGTGCGAAGCCGAGGACTGCTTCCCGTCTGTCTGAGCTTTGAGTCGCAGCCCTCCCCTCTCTCAAACCCTGACGGAGCGGTGGGCGGCTCTGCCACGTGCCTCGGCTGACAGTGGCGCTGGGTGAGGCGTCCAGGTGGCCGCTCACTGGCTTTCATGGCTGGCTGAGGGGGAACTCCTGGCCCTGCAGCCACAGTGGGAGGAGGGCCAGGCCACGGCAGCGAGTTTTGGATGACGAGGGGTGTTTATGCACGCGGACTTTCCTGTGGGGCTTGTGGGTTGCAGTGATCGCATTTCAGGTCAGGGTTTTGGGAAAGAATAAACGAGGCAGTTGGAGGTGGGTTCTGTAGGAGGGGGTGAATGAAGGAAGCAGAAAGCTGAGAGAGGAAGGTGAAGGACAGTGTGGAGAAATAAGTGACAGCAAACACGGTGCTTAGCACGGACCAACACGTCTCGACCTGAGACGCAGGAACTGGCCCTGCTCCACACGGAGATACCGAGCGGCTTGCCAGGGGTCTCTCAGCCAGCAAGCGGAGGGGCTGGGCTTCAAAGCCCAGGTTAACCACGTGATGCTGGCTAGGACGGCTTCTGGGAGACTCGGGCCTTTCAAAAAACATCTCGGCACAGAAGCAAAACGGTTGAAGTTGAAAAAAGACTCAAAGAGGGAAAGTGGTAACACTTGGTCAGGACGACGCTTCTCGCTGAGCTGAGCTGGGAACGACTCTAGCTGCCTGAGTCCCTACTGAACACCCGTGGGGTCGCCGGCGCCAGGTTCATGGCTGTTAAACGCGATTTTCTTCTGGAAACGAGCGCCCGCCCCCAACTTCCCCTGGGGTGGACGTCTGTTGGAGAACACTGTTTTACACATTGGCTCAAACAGCTTGTGTCTGGGCGACGTGCGTCACGCCGACCTCGAAGCAGACAGGACACCGGAAACTGGGGCAGAACACGCACCCTTTTTCCTCTGGTGCTTCGAGGTGCCGGACTCATCCTGTCAGCTAGCCATGCGGAAACTGCCCTTTCCGGGGTCGCCAGTGGTTTCATAATTACTCAATTCAAAGGACATTTTCCTAGTCTACTTTAACCCATGGTGCTTCCTATTATTTGTCACAATAAACAAAGAGAATCTCACGAGACTCTCTCCTCCTGCGACACCCCCGCTCCTGGTTTTTCCTCGCTGTTCTTTCCGTTCCTCTTTGCTCCTTCTCCTGAGAGGCTGTTCTTCTGCCTGTCCCTTGACTTTAATCGTCCTGTCGAATTCTGCCTCAGCCCTCTACGCTTGTTTTTATAAGCTGTTCTTGTTTAAACAAATCATAATTCTTTCCAAGACCCTAATAAATGCTCCCCCATTCCTCTCCACTTAGCAACTTTACTTGGTCTCCAAAATTTCTGGGACAATTATAGTCGGTAGATAGAAAGGGATCAGGGTAAAGTTGGTCCTCTGTACACAGCGACAAGTTGAAAAAAAAAGCAACACAAGAAACTGGGTCAATTAGGGTCACTTGTTATGATGAAAACCAAATAAAATCTAACCAGCATGCTTGGGACTAACAGGATTTTGGAAGAAACTTGTCTTAGGTAAACTGGGCGAGACATATTGATGAAGTGAACTTTGCTCACATTACTTACCAGGAATAGTGGACCTGATGCTTAAGTAATAAAAAATAATTTAAAAACAATGAGTAATTTTGAGAACTATAAACTGAAGGAAGGGTTTGGAAGGGACTAGGTTCTATTTGGGGTGGAGGAGTCAGTACTTTATTTCAAAACCCATGACTCTTTCATGTCCCTGGCTGACATGTGGCTTATTAACAAGTCAGTTTTACTTCCAGAGCTAATTGACTAAGCTACCACTTTTGTAGCTTACCCACAATACACTGAGAGTGAATATATAATTTTGTCATTCTTTTAGTGACTTTCTAATGTTCTTAAAGCATCTCAGCGCAACTATGGAAGACACTGCGTGGACTCTGGCTGACCGTCGCTGGGCCTCTGCCATAGGGCGGCAGGCATCACGCGTATGAACAGCACCTAGGTCACATCCGCTTTCGCTTGGTCTGAGACTGTCGCAGTTGACTGACTTGATCGATTAACTCCCAGAAACTGGGGGGCTGGGGGGAGGATGTCTAAGGTGGCATACAGCCTCAAAGTCCTTCAGAATTGCTTTCTTTTCATCAACAGAGGAAAAATGGCTAATTTCCTAGACTGTTTGTTAGTTATCTGGAAAACAAAATTTAAAATTTAACTAGCCATGGAAATAGGTATTGATTTGAAGTAATGTTAAGTTCAGCTGGAACATGTTGAAAGCAGAGACTACACCATGAGGCTGAATCCATTTCTTACACAGGAAGCTTAACATTTTGCTGTTTAAATTTCTTCTCAGTGTTGACCTTTGTCTCATGTAGAAAGACCCTATGTAAGGAAAAGTCTAGATCTTCTTCTGCTGAGGATGGGCAGAGGAAGGAATGGATTTCATTTCAAGCAAACCCGAACTCAGGGAGCCCGTTTCCTTCCCCTCCTCTCCTCCCTCCCTTCCTCTTCCTCCTTTCCTTCTTTCTTTCCTCTCTCCCTCCCTCTCCTCCTCCCCTCCCTTTCTTCCTCTCCTCTCCTCTCCTCTCCTTCCTTCCTTCCCTTCTTCTCTCCCTCCTTCCCTTCTGCACAGTTATTGGTGCCTTAAATTATCAAACAATACTATACTGTTCTGAAACCATATACCTAAAATTGCATAAATCAGAGACCGCTGAGACCCCCTGACTACCTTTTGGTTGTTGCAAGACGAGGGCTGTGGGCTCCAGAAAGTGGAGAGTGGAACTGGATTTAGGTCTCTTAAATCCTCCTCCTCGCTCCATTCTGTCTTGGAGGAGACTGCAAGAGGCCTAGGTACTCACTTTTGGGAAGATCTCTAGCAAAACACTCCATGGGCTGTTTTACTTCTTCCATTGTGTTACTGAAACTAAGAGAGGGAAGCCACGGAGGCCTCACGTCACTCACCAACAAACAGCTGGCTGTAGAGCTCCAGGCGCGTGTGCCCTTCTGTCGGTGCCTTGCGGGTCTGCTGTGGCAGCCGATCCACCTGCAGGCTGGCCTGCTTGACATTCCTCTCCGCGATGACCCGGTGCCACTGGTCATCGTTGAGAGGCGAGGGCGACCTCACCACAATCTCCACGGGCCCATTTCCAACATCGAATGAAAAGGACACGTCTGTGGCAGCTGGAGGAGTAGAAAGCACGAAAGGCACATGAGTATTTTCCTCTCAGATACCAAACAGGAGTGCACTCTAGAGGGAACACAAAGCAGGGAGAGAAAAACCATCCTGTGACTGGATACAAAGGTCCATGGCAAGACCAGCTGAAGAAAGGTAAAAAAACATCAAGCCATTCTTAGCCATGAATAACCGAGGGGAGGACACCGGACGAGTACTAGGGGCCAGGTACACAATCATTTCCTTCACCTTCAGAAGCCATTGAGAATTTACCATCGTTGGCTCCTTCCAGGTATGGAAACCGAGGCTTGGAGAAGTTAAGCACATGCTGTGTCTTGGATTTAATGAATAACGGAATCAGGACGTGAACCCAGGTTCGTCAGATTTTAGAGCCTGAGATCTTTTGATTCTATACACAACACGACTCTTCAACGGCTCCTGGGACAGAGACTTGCACTGGAGGGCGCAACGGAACAGCTGTGTCCAGCTCTGTCCCCAGAGATTCTGGCTCAGTTGGTCTGGTGTAGACACTGGTATTTTTAAAAGCTCCATGGAAAATATTATTATATAGAGTTGAGAGCTACTGCTTTGGGAGAATTCACAAAACTTTATTTCATTAGTCATATCACTGTAGTTCCTACAGGAAGTTAGGGAGCTATGAATTGTTGATGAATGTGAATAAAGGTGACCTGCATCTTTTTCGGACCACCTGCGGCTGTCTACAAGGTAGCTAGCTCCAGGTTCCCGCAGAATAATCCCTTCCCAGACTCGTCTCCTGCACACCTCAGTCCTTCCTGATCTGGGATACTGGACCCTGCCCTCCAGCACTGACCACACATCACTCTTTTCTCATAGATCTGCTCCAAGGCAACCTCCTTCTGCAATAAATTACCTTTCAACAAGAGAAAAACAAATTAGGTGGTTGCTTTGGCAACTTCGGTTGTAAGTGGTTTTCTGGCTTCACGTTTTAGGGTTTAAGTTCCTCAGTGACCGCCTAGTGTTTCGTAAACGCATTTTTTAAAATGTATATTTTTCTTGCAGTTGGCAGGAGAGGCAGCTTGATGCAGACACAGCCCACATGTCCCCAGCTCCTCGGGCTGGGTGAAGGTGACATTAAAGATGTGGCCCACAAGCGTGTCTCTGAACTTTGCTTATCCAGGGATTTAGGCCTCTATCTACCAATAAGCCTTAAGTCTCTAAGCAGTTTAATATTTAATGTCTTTTGTCCCCCAAGGATAATGGAAAATTCAGCTTCTCTAGACTGGTACCATTTTGAGAGGATGTCGCAAGCAATCAAACTTCTTTCTAATTTAAAACCTATAGCGGGCCAGATTCTCGTGGGACCTGGATGTCCCCAGAAAGCTGCATTAACCTTTTTGAACTACGGGGATATTAGACACAGAATCTGATTCAATCAGCCTAATTCCCACCAAGGAATTTTGTTCCTTTATGTCATTAAGAAAGGGAATTTTGATTTTTAACACCTGTGGTGATTCCACGCCCAGTCTGGTAAGACAGCGCCTCTAAAGTAGAAGCTCCTGCATCCAGGGCCACCGGCACTCAGCCTTCGTCACGGTGTCTACAATGGCATGAGCAGAATGCAGGTTGGTGATCAAGTGGCTCACGCCAAATGACCTTTCCCCATAGTTCTGGTATAGTCTATGGGGGGAAGTATCCTGTTTTAAGATCACCCTGTGATATTCTTGTACTGCCATGTTTTAGCAAGAGCATTGTAAAATGTAAGCTGTCAGACTAGCAAGAAGACAAGGCTTCCCAAGTAGAAAAGATTGTTTTGTTTTAAAGGCATCAACAGCCATCAGGGAAATAGAATTGGGGGATAAATTGAGTTTAACCCTAAGGTTTGACTTGAAGGGACAAATGCCGCTCTGATTTCCTCCTCCCCCTCTCCTCCTGCTGCAATGGATTCTTGTCAAGGTCTTTACACGTCACCATATAGAGATGCTCTGAGTCCCAGACTTAACTGGGAAATACCATACTTTTTTCGCCGCTTGTCACACTGGACCCCGTTTCTTCCTCTGGACTGTGGTCTTCTTAACATCAACGCTTCACTTAGAGAAGGAAAATCTCTGAGCTTCACTGCAGCTCAGTCTTGTGGCCCCAACTGGGTTTGGTAACAGGGACTCAAGACAGGGGCCTCTGAGAGCACAGTCCTCCTTAAGAGCCTCCGTCCAGACGCTGCTGAAGCGGCAGTCACAACGTGAGCACACCCCGCTTCCCCGGTGCTTCCTGAGGGAGGGGCGGCAAGGCCGGCGTGAGAGCAAAGGAAGCGGTTCCTTTTTCTCAGTCCTTCAACGCAAGCTTCCCTGGCATTGCCAAGGGACACCTCTGGGAAGTTCTCTCTCCCAGCCAAATGGCAAGGGGGCTTTAAAAGCTTCTTGAGTTCAGTTTGTGGCTGACTGCTCCCGGTCTTCTGGGTGAGAGGAACTGACATTTTAAAAGAGATCATTACAGAGAGTCAGCGAACAGATAAAAGGGAGGCAGCATAAAAGACACCAGAGCCAATGACGCCGTCCATACTTAGTGTGTGTTTCCATCCCTGCCTGTGGAAAAGGAATTTCTTACATACTGAAAACATTCTCATTTCCAGAAATCGGTATTTGAGAATTGGGTGTATCTAGTGTGGCTCACTGAAAAGCACACTGTAGCAAACACGAACAGCTGCCTTTCCCTTAGAGTCAAGAATGGAAAGCTTCTGAGACTTTGCCCTACTTGCAAATGAACATGTTAGCCTGCCGCAGCTCCACAGATGCCCACAGAAAGCAGGAGATCATGGGCCAGAGACAAAGGACTTCATTATTCACAGTGCAGCAGGCAGCATGAGCTTCGTGTCCACATGGGCTTCCCTTGTCCCCTGAGTCCCATGGGGGCACGTGAAACAGCTCAGATGGACGCTGCATATGCAGTGAGTTTGTGTCACAGCCGACAAAGCCTGCACATAGGAAACCCAAATCTATTAAAGGAGCTGCTAGCAAACCTGCTCATCTCTGCCCCGGGAGAGACATTAGCTTTATAATTCTGGTCAGAAAACAAATCTTACCCTCTGTCCCTGAGGAAGACACTGCCTCTGTCTTCCAAGGCTGTCTGCTACACATGCACCCTTGAAAGGGTACAAAGCTATCAATGTGTCTTGTTCAGAAGGCAAGTAGAAATGGGAGAGACTCCTGGAGAATTCTTCCTGAACAACAGCCACGCCTACCTCTTCCTTGTGAGCTGCCCCAGTTTTGCCCAGGAATCTATGTGCTTCCATAGAATGTTACGTGTCACATAAGGATGGCTCTTCCCCAGGCCCAGACAGTGAATTTGGATTTGTCTGAGTCAAATATGGCAATTCCATGCTCCTTTCCAGTAACCTCATTAAGATGGGACATATTATTCCCTCCTGGACAATAAGGCATGAGAGGGAGTTTTGAGGGGGCCTTTTGGGATAAATTTCTGAGCTCCTAAGAGAAAAAATAGCCAGTCCTTCTTTTGGCCCTGGATCTTGGGTGGAGGTTGCGGTTCCTAATGCTGCTGGACTCACCTTGTAAACATGAGACACAATGAGGAAAATGGGAGGGCGATGGGACAGACCTGGCTCTTCAGCGACACTGTTCAGTCCTGAAGCTATTCTAGGAGCCAACTCAAGACTTCTTATGAGATATGTATTAGTGTTCAAGACATTTTTATTGCATCTGAAAGCATCTTAACTGACATAGAAAATGGTTTAGCAATCAGTATGTATGAGGTCTAGTCTTTGCCTTCTCACCTTTTGGGCCCTAAGTTCATTGGTATATGAAATGAGGACTATATTTATGGTTTTCCAAGAGTTTCTGTGTCTAATAGATGTTTGAAAAAAACTGAACTGGATGATCTCTAAGTTCCCTTCAAATGCCAACATTCTACGATCTAATTTCCAAAGGATTCTAAGAGAAATAATAAAATTAAACACAGCTAGTCCTAATGATACTTCTGGAATAGTGGATCACTATCAGGGGAAGAGAGACATTAAAAGAGAAATGCACAAGGTGGCATGCTGGCATCAGAAACAAGCGTGGATGGCAGAACTTGCCTTTGAATACTTCTGGGTCAGGACTTCGCCTGAGTGACAAACAGTGAACGGGCAACACCACGGACAGCTCCTGGTATCGCCTTCTCTCCGCCCATCAATTCCAGCAGGTGGCGCTATGCGCTCTCATTCTAACTCAGGATACTAAGTTTTCCCCAAACAAACCACTCCAGGCTTAATGTACTGAAGTGACAAATTTAGCAGCTGACCAGAATAGTAGACTTTCTGGCTCTGAGTTCTCCCAGCAGGTGAGGTAACTTTTAGACATCAGACTCAAAGTGTCAGCTGGAAGAAGCAGAACAAATTTGGTCATTCAACAGAGAACAGGTAAAGAGAAAAGCCAAGGAAAGGTACACGTAGTGGGCATGCCGAGATGACCAGCTAACACTGCTAGTTTTCATAATGATTTGTTTATTACATTTCTAAAACGAAGTTTAAGGTCTGACAGCTTCCAAAGGGCTGTTTTTTACAAAAATCTCATTTGATCCATGCAACAAAACTGGCCATAGGCAGCACAGATATTTTAGCCTCACTCTATAGTGGAGAATGTTATGGATATATAATTCTTTTTTCTCTTTCTTTTTTTTAGGAAGGAAGGGCTAAGTGTATGACAGGAGACAGAAGAATTTACGCAACATGAGAAGGTTATGGGAAGAGGCACGGAGGCTGAAAATGAGGCCACTGTGGGAACGAGAAATGAGGGGAGGAAAGAGGGGACGTCCGTGTTCCCATCGGGGCCAGGCGCTACACCGGTGCATTGATGCCACACCTTCTTCTCCATCCGAGGACATCGCTCTAGCAACGCTGCCCTCTCTTCCACAGCAACCGTAATTTTTTTCTCTACATGTGGGCATGTCTCTAACCCCGATGGCCACCGCCGCAGCAGAACTCTTCTTGTGACCTTATATCTCGTTTCTTTGCTCCCTTTTGTTGCCGACTCCT